ACTAGGATAATACAGTTTGCCGAGGGGGGAGGGCATTTTACACTTTCGTTGCTTCACTAGTTCTGGTTTACAAGTCTCACTCTGGTGAAACCTGTGAACTCTTGTGAAGCTGGAGCAAGCTCGTCAAGCTACCATCCCAAAACCTGTCAACTCGAAAAGAAGCTCTCTAAGTGCAAAATGCCCCTCGTCGCCAAACAGCGCCCCTCCAGACCGATCTATGAGTGGAGCGATACTTTCTCCGCTTGTCCTTATTTAGATCAGTGTTCCTTATGCGAAGGCGACATTACAATCAAGGCGCTTCATCACTGGGGCATTTTTGCAGAATACAAGCCTCTCCAAAGTCTTCTTATGATACTAGAGGAGGGCAGGGGTGCGCATGTCGCCACGAAGCAACTACTATTTTCAGCCACCGAACAGTTGTATAGGGCTTCCTCAAAGCAATGATGCGATGGGTAGCGCACGTCAAACCAGGATTTTCTTTATCTTTATTGCTGTTTTTTGCTACTTCATATTTTTTTCCACCGAGAAATTCTGCTACTTTCAGTACTGGTAGTATTTGGAATGGACAAATCTGCTTGAATAATGCAGTACTGACCACATCATTTTGTTTGATCTCAAATCCCATTGCGCTCAGAGTAGCTTCAAGACTTCCGCCTTTGCTTCGTATTAGGGTGAGTCCATTTCAATATTTTGGTGCAGTTCGGCATGGGAGGGGGGGTTGCATTTTTGCTGGTTCCTATTGTTCATAGCTTTACAAAGGTTGGCAAGTAGTCTCCCCAGACTTTGGCTGATATCGCTTTTTGGCTTCTCAACATCTCACAGATCTCTATTCAACGGTTCGACACGACAACGGGGAATAGTGAATGTGTAAAATGCCCCCCCCCCACCTCGCCCATGCTCAACTGCCCCTGATTTTCTTATTGATACGCACTTCTTGTGCTATTTTAGTTTCAGCTCAACGGTTGTGGGCTTCATTTAGATTGGCGAGATGAATTTTTTCTTGTTTTCAGGGCCGAATTGTACCCGTTATCGTTTTTGATTATATACATGAAACCATTAAAAATGCAATACATCACGTCGCAGTATTACGATTGACTAGACCAGGTGGGTATTGGAGTAAGATTAATGTTCGAAATTTCATCCATTTCCCAATTCAGTGCGTACTTTCATTTGTTCTAACGCTTCTGTTGCAGTGGATATGGAAGGCGAACAACGGTATATCTCCATCTTTGAAGACATGGTACGGAAGGGTCGCTATTTTGCTGTTGATGTCCCTCCAGAATCGTGTTTCAAAGATATTTATTTGTTGCCGCTACCAGCTGGAGAAGACCCACCAGGTACATTTTGACCACATATGATTTACAGGGTGTAGCTCAGTTTACGAGGCGCGGCATCGCGCACAAATTGGCAGTGTTTCCAAATTCGTCGACCTGACAACTTGTACTATTGTCACGTTGAATCATTTGGGTCCCGCTGCGAATTCCGCGCATGTGAGCCTGTGTTGCTACGCCTCTTTAGCGCGCCGGAACTACGCCCTGCTTTGCTGATAAACCGCCAATCTCCCTTGATCTTCTTTGTTTCAGCTTTTTTCTTTTAGCTTTCCTCTTACCATTTGATGGTCCGGGAATACCGCTACGGCATGCTGCGATGATAATGTGTGTGATGGTGATCTATGGAACAGAACGACGTCCACCGCTGCCAATGGAGTATGTATTGTATTCAGCGTTTTCTTCTTTTCCTCGTTAACATTATTCCGTTTTATTGATAATCAGGCTTCATTCCTTTTTTTCGGATTATAGCAGATTTTTTTCTGCGCTGTACGGCTTGGAAGGGCATTTTGTACTTTCGCTGTTTCCTTTCGCAAATTCCCTTTGGATACATGGTGAAACCTGTGCTGTCAAGTATAAACGAAGGTGCTGCTCCAGCATAGCTCTATGGAGTTTACGGTGTTCCCGCAAGTGGTACGGGCAATAATCGATGGGAAACATGAAAATACCCGCACCAGCCAAACTGACCCCCCCCCCCGATTTTTTCATTTGTTTTCATTGTGATTTTATTCGTCCTATTACAGGAGGACATATAGTAGAGAAACGGTTCTTTCTCGAAGTCCACAAGATGCGCAGTTCTTTGGTCAGGGTGCGGGTATGATGCCGAGGTTGCGTTCGACATCGCCTAAATTCGGCCCAACTTTCCGTGATTATGAGAACCTGAGGTAGTTTATTCGTCACTCCTTTTGGTTATCTCATGTCTGATTGGAAGTTGTTGACCTTTAGCCCGGAACCTATTCGTCGATATGGCTCACGTGACCCTCTTAGTTTGGCCTCTGAAAGCGAACGAGCTCTTCCAGATGGTGAGTGGAAGAGATTGTATAGTTTCAGCTTAATAAAGCCTTTACTTCTTTCAAGGGGAATGAATTTGGTATTCAGCAAGTAAGTTCTTTCGTAAAGTAGCAGTATTTCAGATTATTCTCCACGAACACCTGGTCGTCATCCTGCAGTGCCTCCCGAGACTGTACTCACCTCGGCAAGAACCCCTGACGAGTCGCAGTTGCCGCCTGAGACAGACACCGCTTCCAGTACACCTCCGGATCCCCAACAAATCGACTATGCTCCTGTTACGGATGCTGACAATCTATTACCATCGCAGTAAGTTATTTTTTTTTCGTGGAGTGTATTCGCCTTGTCGGTCCCATATTTAAGAACCCACTACGTTAGCCTACATACGTTGGAATAATGTTCGAATAGGCAGCGTTCAGATTTCGCGATGGTGCAGGTTGACGCGCGTCATCGAGCTCTGAATGCCACCTTACACTTTGTAATTATGTTCCAGGTTCTTCACTATGTGCAAAGAAGCCGCCAAAGAGCCACCAAAGGTTCCAGCTGTTGAAGAGATCGATACGCTTCCAGATTTGCTTCTGTTCATTCAACTTAACAGTAATCCTCGTATGTAACTTGGTATAATTTTTGGCGCTGTTTTCCTTTTGCGATTTGAAACTTCAGGAGGAAGTTACTGTTTTATTAGAACCTCCCATTGGTGGTGGACTTATGGTTAGTCTGAAATCTCTCTCCGGGGGTAGTTTGACCCGCTGTCTACTGATGCAGGGCACTTATCGTCACTGGGGAAATGTCTCGTGAAACACCATCCTTTTCATGAAATTTCCTACCTCTCTTACGACCCCCCCCCTCCCCATTCCCATGCTGCTTATCAGCTACTGTCGAAAATAGCAGCTGTTCAGCTACACAGGATACTGACTGCCCCGTCAGCCAGGGAGAGAGCAAATACGACAATACAACCCCATCCCATCACCGACCAACTTACGCTCCTGGGAATTTCTCAGTGTACAAACTGTATGGATGTCATTGGTTTGCAGCTAAAACGAATGCCCCGCGCTATGGCGTATTAGTATGGATAGAATGTGAACTTTGTGGTCTGAGGTCAGCTTACCCCAACAACGAGTTTCTGCGGAATTCGCTGTCAACAGATTTCGATAAAAAAATTCGGGCTAAATTCTGGTAGGTGAAGTCGCAAAGGGTAAATAGTTCCAATATCCATTGAATGATTGTTTATTCGAAGATGATTTCGCTCAATTCCAGGAGAGATCAGAGAAGTTGTTGGTCGATTCATGGCGAATCCGCGTTATTTAACTATAAACTGATCGAGATCTGTATCAAGAAAGAAAAGTCATGGAGAAGATTTCGACGGAAAGGAAGAAAAGAACACGGTAAGGGTTTCATTAGCTCGCTAGAGACAAACTGTACACTCCTCTCGGTGTCAAGAGAATTGCAATTGGCCGCGCTAGTGGGCGTCGCGTGCGACGTCGCGCCCGCCAGTGACGACGATTTCAGGTGGTAGTTTTTGAGAATAGACAATGTATGACCAAAAATAAACATAGGTTCTTAGATGTTCTTGTCTACATGAAATCCGAGTTGCTCCAATCGAGGGGGTAGTGCAAAATAAAGAAACATCGTGCCCATTGCCGTGCGCACTGAGCGGCAGATTCTCTTGCACATCTTTCTCTGAGGACGGTCCGTGCCATGCGCGAGACGAGGAGGTCCTGAGCTGCAGTAGAATGCTACTTACTCCGCTCAAAAAAGCGCGGAAACGGAGCTGAAAAGTAGTGGAGCCCGCGTTGCAGTCTCCACACTTCGCCCACCCTATCCCAAGAATCAGCACTTATGTCGGTAGCGAGGTTCCGCAGCGAAACACGCACTTTGCGGCAGAGAACAAATAGAAGTGAGAGGGCGCAGACAAGTAGCGCGTTTGGCTATGATCAGACGTGTAGCTGGTTTCCCGACAGCGCAGGAGATTGAGGCGGCGCCCGGGTATCACTGCGCCCTGTCCCGTTTCCGTGCACTTTGGGCTAGGGGAAAGTGATCCTACTGGCTGCGGCTGCGAACCCGTTCACCCTTATGGCTAACAGTAGGGTCTATGAATTTGTGTGCACTGTATTTCTTCAGGGAAGTTTTTGCTATGGTGTGTTTTTCTGATAATGAAAAAAAGTCCTTGGAACGTTTCCAATAATTTGCTTCGACATTTTCCCCACGAGGCAATCTGGAATGAAAAATCACGCAAAAATTCTTTTATCACGGGATGCGGAGTATTTCAGGCAGAACGAAGATACAGAAGAGGATGCTAAACGAGACGGATCAAAAGAAAGCAAAAGGAAAAAGGAAGAGATTAAGGAAGAAGGGACGGCGGAAATGGATCCTATAGATTTCGAGTCACTGAATAAGCTTTCCAGCTTCGTTGGTGAAGGCGCTCAGGAATTGCTGAAGCAGGTCATTACAGTTCAGTATACTGCCATTTACAGCGATTTATTGTGATATTATTGAGTTGTAGGCTGGGGAAGATGCCCCGTGCACCGCTGGACAATCGACTCGCCAACCCTCCACCACCTGGAGAGTCGACTGTCCCAATTCTAGGCAACCAGAAACAAACACCTTCTAAAGATGTAGGTGGAACAAGCTGATTTCCTTGTCGCAAAGGAAGCAACGTTTCCCCCCCAATAGGGCTTTTTTTTGTAGATTTTTTAAGGCGTTGTGAAAAGGTGATAAGACGGCCATAAGTGCGATACTACCTGGACCGCCTCCTGTGCCACCTGTTTACGGAGATGATTCATCGGATGGTATGTTTGCTGTTAGACGAGAATCAGCATGAATAGAAGCCTGGTTTTTTCTTCAACAGTGCATTATAGATTCACCAACTGTGCACGATGCTGGTATATCTCCAGAATCATCTAGTTTCACCGCCAGCATGCGCAGAGCTGTTTAATGTTCTTCCAGTGCCACCACCTCCTCCAGTTATACCAAGTCCGATTTGCACTTCTTTGTATCGTTTTATGAGCACATTAAGGCTTCTTTCATACTTTGCGGCAGGGTCCACCAGTGACCATGACCATTAGCGTTTCGAGCGTCCATCAGCGTTAGCGACTGGGAACGTTTGAATTCGGGCGGATGCTAGTGCCCGCCACGTCTATCCGTCTACCAGCGTCCACCAGCGTCTCGAGGGACCTACAGGTGGCGATTTAGCAAACGTCAGCGACCACCAGGAGTAGAGAGTATGGGGATGTAGGAGGATAGCGGTGAAATTGCGGCTTGTGCAACCGCACCCTGCTACTACACAATACCTCACACTGAATTGCATAGTTCTGTGCTTTAGCACTTGTACGGTGCAGTTGCACACTCCGGAATGTCACGACGCCTAATCCAGCTGTCTGTCCTCTCCCTTTTCCCTATACTCTCTGCTCCTGGATGGGTGGACGCTGTTGGTCGCTAGTGGACGCTGGCGTTCGCTAGATCAATACCCATACTTCCCTGGTCGCTGACCCCGACGGACATTCGAAACGCTAGTATTCGCTGGTGGACGCTAGTGGTCGCTAGTGGACGCGGCCCCCTTTTTTAAAGGGCGTTCGCTAGGATTTTCAATTACCCATGACTTCCTGTTCGCCTGACGAAGACGGAGCATTTCGAAAAGCTAGTATTTCGCTGGATGAGTTGGACCGCTATGTGATCGCTATTGGACGCTGTCAACGAATATGAACGCAGCCTAATTTTTTTGCATGAAATTAAGTTTTGGAGATGGCCGATGTTAAATGGCTCACGCGCGCTTGTGCTGTGCTGCGTCGATAGCTGCGTTCATTGTCAATGTTTTGAGTGTACGGTAGCGTTTTGAGCTGTCGAGCGACTAGGAGCTTATAGATATCGCTCTAGCGTTATCAGCAATTTCCCCGCGATAAGCTCAAAACTACGCAACGTTCAAAACTCTAGATTGCGTTCCTGTAACTTCCTTACCTCGCTCGGAAGGCTGCTATAACGCTCGAAATGCTGAGCGATTTTAAGTTGAAGCGCAGCCTAACATATTTAGCTGACTATGAACGCGCGTAACTTTTTTACCTGAGCAAATGGCAAGTGGCTGAGCGTGTGAATTCACATCATATTTTGTTTAAAGGACAGCATTTTGTGTCTTCTTCCTCAGCCCATCAGACAGCTGCGTTTCTCAGTCAATAATACTGTATGATGGAAGCCAGCATATACAGCGAACAAGACTGTGACTAATATACATACTTCAGGTCGGCTGAACATAGCTGTTCCTCCGCCGCCTCCTCCACCACCGCCTCCACCATCTACATCTGCCGCTCAGGCTCCTCTTACGCCAACCCTTCCCCAACCTTCGAACTCTGGTAAGACTCGAGAGAATCGTAACGTTTTTGTTGACCGCGTCTTTCCTGAATCTTTTTCGAGTACTCGCTTTCAGGTGCGACAACAAGCAGTGCACAGTCTCAGGTTCCGCATCCACCTATGCCTCCTGGTATGCTCCGTCCGCCTCCAGGCATGCCACCGCCAGTTCTTCCTCCACCATCGTTCTTGAACTGTCCACCACCGAACATGCCAAGACTGCCAATCCCGCCACCACCAATAGCTGGCATGCCAGGGGGGGGGGGGGGGAGGGGGGGGGGGGGCGACCTATTCCCTCCTCCAGGAATGCTACCACCTCCTGGCATGCTTCCACCACCTGGCATGTTCCCTCCTGGTATGCCTCCCCATCCAGGCATGCCTCCACCTCCGAGAATGCCTCCATGTCTTCCTCCCCCGCCTAAATTCATGAATCAAGGATCAGCACAGCCCTCTGAACAACAAAAATCGTTTTTCCCTGGTGCACCGCCCGCTCGACCTGTACCTCCTGGTCCTGGTCAGGTACCTTCTGCGACTCCAAAAAAACAGTCAAAACGTACGGTGAGTCGTTGATCTCCTGTCCCTTTAGTGAATGACCTTTCATTGAGTGAGAACTATGGTTTCAGGATGGTCAGCCGGATTATGTGACCACTGTTGGAACTGGTATGCGGAACAGCCTCCTTACCTTGATGTTTTTATACTCCAAGTTTTTTAGACTGCCATGATTACAAAAATTTTTGTTAAGGTGCACTTCCTCCTCCACGCCCTTTTTTGGGAACATTTGCGCCACTTCCCAGTCAGATGGGGCAGGCAAATGACTCGAAGAGGTAGTTTGCTATCTATTTTTTGTATTTTTGACAATAGTTTGCTATCTATTTTTTGTATTTTTGACAAAGGAGCATACTGCTTTCAATAACGCAATCAAGGCGTCTCTATTGATCAGCTCGTAATTATTAGCGCTGGCAAGTAGAGGTTGGGGGGAGGGGATCATTCAGAAGCTCGTCAGTATACGCCGGCAAGTTTCTGTATAGTTTGTAAAGGCCTGTAAAACTATAAAAAGAAGTGAATGTTTTTTCCTCATACGATATGGCTTGTCTTCACTAACATGCGAGCACCAGCATAAAAACATTCCAGCTAGTTGTTGAAGCGAGCAGACGACAAGGTTGTACGCCCCCCCCCCCATCCTCCCCTGTCACTCGTTTCCCACCAGTTATCGCTCATACGCTTCCACAACTGACATCGCGCCCCATCTCGCCTAACACGTCTCTTCATCCGCATCTTCATCAGCGAACAAGACTAATTGGAGCAAAACTGAAGCTTGTACCGCTTGGAACTTTACAAGGCTTTGCAGGAGTTCGTTGCGCGCTGTATCACCAGGAGTTTCGGAAGTTATGTAGTATCCCTCTTAAAGGCAGTTGGCACGATGATTTGGTGCTCGGCCTAAAATGCTAGTAGGGCGCTATATAAAGGGGAAATGGCGAAAGAACGGAGTGAAACGGTCAAAATCCTGCGAAGAAAGAGCCTCCGCTCTCTAATGTGTTAGGAATCAATTTTGGGACGAGTTTCCTGTAGGCATCTTACCAATCACCGCTACCGAAGATACGGCTGCATATGTGTACCCATATATGCATGCAGCATCACGGCCGCTTCATACCAATCCCTTCGCTTCATAATTTGCTTAGCAAATGAATCGATTAGAGCGTCAGGAACGGTCGTCCATTTGTGGGCGGGCGTGGCGGCGTTTGGGTCGGTACGTTTAGCCTGTATGGGGCCTCTTATAAGGGCACCTCCCTTGGAAAAGGCATTATGCAGCGCCTGCTCAGGGTCACGGAATTCCGTCCTGCCAGGCGTATTAGTCCTACTCGTCTTGGAGAATTTATCGTGCTACTGCCTTTACCCGACTCGCACCTAATCAAAAAATAGATTAAGAAAGGGCGCAAAAACGCCAATAATTAGAAAGGGCGCAAAAACACCAGTAATTAGGGGGACCTATAGAGAGTTTAGCCTACCCGTGCAAAACTGTTATCTTCGCCTCGAAGATGAGGACTTGCCTCAAAACTAAAGTGGGAGAGATTGGGAGAAGTGGTTGGTGAACTATTTTAAAAGGTGGAATTCTGTTTTGATGGCGTGAGGCCTCTTGCACAGGGAGTCCTTTAGATACCCCTCACGCAAGCTTATTAGCTCTTGTGAAAGTAGGGAAAAGGTTGCTTTCGTTTGACTCTTGTTTCTTGAGCTGCTTTGTTTCCTCATCGTGGCTATGAGGGTGAGGGTTGTACAGTCTTCGCTTCCAAGGGCGTGTCAGTGAAGCTGGGCTTGGCGCCACAGCGCCGCGCTCTCCACCAATCGCTGGAGCGGGCAAGCGGCAGCTGATGAAAAACGACTGATGTGAACGATATGATGGTGTTTTTTTGCTTGTGGAGAGAAAAAAAATAGGCTGGTGGTGCAAGCCCAAATTGACTCCTCTCCTCTCATTCCCCCTCCCCTCTTCCCTCCCCGCACCCGACGCGCCTCATCATCTGCAGCGAACAATTCTGTATTGCACTTAGCGGCGATGATGCCGTTGTCTTCATGTCATGATATTCTGCTGTTTTAGCGCACCTTCAATTGGGGCCTCCACCAGCGGAAAGAGACAGAATACCCCGGACACCTTCGCCATGTATATTTTTTTCATCACTTCTTATTTCCATTTCGAAACTAATTACCGTATTTTCCTTTTTAGCACCTTCATCACACGGCCTCAACCAGGATCCGCAGGAGGGCGATCGGGTCCTAGAAATGGGTGTGTTCTGAAGATTTTTCCCTGAATCTGGCCCAATAAAATTAAACAACCCAATGTTTTTCGATTTTAAACTTTCCGCCGTATATTTAGTCCTCGAACGCCAAGTCCGATGTTTCGAAAAAAGCAGCAAGATGAAGAAATTGAAAGGCTCAAAAGAGATATCGAAGAGCAAAAGCGTCGAGCAGGGCTTCAAACGAAGCAGGATTCTGCAAAGGTATGACTCCGCCAAGTTCGAAATTGAAGCTTTGCTGCAATGTAACTTCATTTATAATGTCTTTCAGAAGTCTGAGAGCGAAGCCTACAGAAAGTGATTCCAAAGAAAAAAAAGTTTGGTTTTTTCCCCCCCCGACAGGCTAGTGGAATCTATTTCAAGGTGAAACTAATTTCGCCTTTTGATTTTATCTTTCAAATTGGTATTTTTCTCTTTCAGGAGCTGGTCTGCCAGAAGGAGATTCCGGCAAAGCCGGACCGTCCGGACCGTCTTCTTCTTCCAAAGGTTTGCAGGCTACGGTACTTCTATTTTTCGATAGTACAATCGAAGCCACTACGTAAATTTGTAGGCAAAGGCGATGATAATGATGCAATGGATATCGATGCTGGAGAATCAGAAGACGAACCAGCGGAAGCTGCTGAAAGCCAGAAGAGTGCAGCTGAAGGAAAACCTCCCAACGATATGGCTGGTGAAGGTCGTGGAGGAATCGTCGTCCCTGGCATGCGAGGTCCACCTTTTCCTATTCCGCCAGGTATGTACTGCAATAATGATTAATTCGTCTTTTTAAGTCTGGTCCCCAGAGGAATAATCACTGGTTCTGGCCCGGCTCTTCACCGAATGGTTCGGCCCTGCAAAGAAAATTCAGTGGTGGAGAAAAGGAAAAATGTTGGAGCGGGTAGAAAAAAAAAGAAGTAGCCCAGCTTCCCTTCCACAAGTGAGGTGGTTGTCAAATGCCCTGGAATTCCACGTACTCCGCTTTGACGAAGTCTGAAGGCGGAGGAATAATAAATACCGCTGCCTCACGTGGAGGTCCACAGCCGCAGTTCGATTGACTCCGTCGCATCTGTAAAAAAATTTTTTTAGAGTTGACTCCTGATGTTTTTGTCCCCCCTCCCTCCGCTTCGCACCCGCTCTCCTCCACTCCTGATCGGCGTTTTTCTGTTGCCTGCAGGCTGTCGACATTGACTGCTTGCTGATTTCCGTTTAAGTGTAACTTGAAAATGCTCGCCACGCGTTCGAAATGGTGGCTTTTGCGACTCATATACTAATGTCAAGTTGGTGAATAATAAATGAACCGCGCTTCACGTGCATAAGGCGAAAAAAGGGCGTGGTCGGACGAGTAGCGCTCGTTGATGTCATGTCCTTCTCCTTATCACGCACTGACACCGTTTGAAATGGAGAGAGTTGCTAGCAGGCAACCGCACCATCAGATAGCAGTTCAGATTGAAAGATGGGCGTGGCCGAGGCCAGTGGGCGGATCCGTGGCCTCATAGCGGGCGGGTGACGCTCTGCTCACGTCGTTCTGAGCAGTGAAAGTAGTA